ATTCCTGCAGCAATTACAAAATTCCTAACAGAAATTGTAACAGGAAAAGTCCTGCAGGAACTACAAAATTCCCAACAGAAATTGTAACAGGAATATTCCTGCAGGAATTACAGAATTCCTAACAGAAATTGCAACAGGAATATTCCTGCAGCAATTACAAAAAGCTGCCTCCAGTTCACATCCTGACACTTTCCCAGCAGGAGCCCAAGCAGAGCCTCTGGACCCTCCAGGGCCATCAGGACCCTTGTTCATTGAGAGAGGCAAAGAGTGAGACAGCTGGAACACAGAGGAGCAAGTTGGTGTGACCCCTTTGGAGCAGTTTGTGTTTTTGGGGTTTTTAATGCTTACAGGAAGTTCTGCCAAAGAGTAGATTAAATGTCCTCAGTAAAATTTGGGATGGTGCAGGGAGGGATCTTGGTGTTTGCCTGAGATGCAGGGAGGGACCTTGGTGTTTGCCTGAGATGCAGAGCCCATCAGAGCAGGCAGTGCTGGTGTCCCAGCCCATCAGAGCAGGGAATGTGGTGTCCCAGCCCATCAGAGCAGGCAGTGTGGTGTCCCAGCCCATCAGAGCAGGGGGTGCTGCTGTCCCAGCCCTGTAGAGCAGGGAATGTGGTGTCCCAGCCCTGTGGAGCAGGGAATGTGGTGTCCCAGCCCTGTGGAGCAGGGAGCCCCAGGGGATTGGGGTGCAGCTGGAGGAGCAGAAGCCCAGGAGGGCACTCCTATGTTGCCTTTGGCACAGGGAGCTGCACACCTCAGAGGGGCTGTGAAAACCTGCCATGGCTGCAGCCAGGAGACAAATTAGGATTCCTGGCTTTGTGTTTTTTACTGCATTTTTCCCCTTTTCACTCTGCCTTGACATTACAGCTGGCACACGGTGCTGAGGTTCTTCAGGTTTCTGATGTGCTTACATCAGTTGCAATCTTCATTTCATAGCCCTGGCACTTGGAACAATGCTTTGCTTTCTTATTACCGTGCAATTATGGGGTTTGGACATATAGGGGCTGGCATTCCCTCTGTGATTCATTTCTTTGGTATCCAGCTCTTCTCCTGAGGCACCAGGGACCTGAGGGAGGGAGGGAAAGCCTGCCTGGCCTCTCCTCTGGACTCCAGCCTCACTGTAATTGGGTTTGTGTTGGGATTTCAGCTCTCTGTGCTCTCCTAAGGCTGGCTGGAGTCTCTGTCACTCAGTGGGACAGGCCTGCAGGTGCATTGCTCATCAATAAATGCCATTGAGTGATCCATCAGTTTCAATCCACGGAAAATCCCAACAATTCTAAGGAAACCTTTGGTCAGCAGCACCACTCTGTGAACTGACCAAACCCCAGGTCTGCTTCTCTCCTCCAGTGCTGAATTTCACGTGGCCTCCTCTGTTTGGCTTTTGGGTTTCTCACTCCACAGACAGAATGAGTGCAGGTCACAGATGGAATTGCCAAAACCAAATGTCACTTTTTATGCATTTTAAAGAAAACCAGCAGAAAAAAAAAACAACCCACAATCAATGATTTTACAATTAGTGTAAAGTCATGTATGCAGAACACCAAAACCTGTTCCACTGCATGGGAGGAGATGGTCACCCTTCCCAAGGGATTTAAAAAAGAAAAAGCCACGGCCTGGCAGAGGGAGGAGAGGAGACCTGGAAGTGCCTCTGCCTTCCTGCAGCAGGGACTGACCACTTCCCATGGGGAGTGTGAGCTCCTGCTGGGCTCCAGCACCTCCTGCCTGGCTGGTGGCTGGCCCTGGGCACAGGGACACGTGTGCAGGGGTGGGGACAGCTGTGACAGTGGCTTTGGGCACTGCAGGACAGGAATGGGGACAGCTGTGACAGTGGCTTTGGGCACTGCAGCACAGGGACACACTGGGGACAGCTGTGACAGTGGCCTTGGGCACTGCAGGACAGGAATGGGGACAGCTGTGACAGTGGCTTTGGGCTGATGGAGCAGCTCCTGGCCCAGCTCTCCTCCAGCACTGACCTCCAAACCTCTCCCACCTGGGCTGTGCTTAAGGGACTCTGAGTTCAGGGCTTGGGCCCTGGGTTTTATCTTGTGCTTTGAGATCCTGCTGCCCTGAAAGGAGAAGATCCTGCTTCCCTGAAAGGAGAAGATCCTGCTTCCCTGAAAGGAGAAGATCCTGCTGCCCTGTAAGGAGAAGATCCTGCTGCCCTGAAAGGAGAAGATCCTGCTGCCCTGAAAGGAGAAGATCCTGCTGCCCTGTAAGGAGAAGATCCTGCTGCCCTGTAAGGAGAAGATCCTGCTGTCCTGAAAGGAGAAGATCCTGCTGCCCTGAAAGGAGAAGATCCTGCTGCCCTGAAGGGGGGCCTGGCTGAGTGGTGGCTGCAGGGCTGTGCTGCAGGAGTGTCCTTTGGAAGGTCACCAGCAGCCAGCCTGCCTTCCCCGTCTGCTCCCTCCCTCTGCCAGCTCTCTCTCCATCCTTTTTTAGCCTGCTCCTTGCATAGCCAGCTGAATGGGAGGTGATGGAACATGGAATTGCCAGCTTGAAGGGCAGGGGGGGGCTGCAGGTGGGTCAGGAAAGGAACCTGAGGAGGGTCAGTGCTCTGAGAAATTCCTTAGCCACGGATTCCTTGGTGCCCGCCTTAGAAATCCAGGGCTAATTTTCAACTCTGCCTTTCCCAACATGGATTTCCTTTGGAGTGGGGAGAAATATTGAATTTACAGGGAGGTTGGGCACTGCCCTGTGCCTGGGTGTCACCACAACAGGGGATGGATGGATGGATGGATGGATGGATGGATGGATGGATGGATGGATGGATGGATGGATGGATGGATGGAGGGATGGATGGAGGGATGGATGGAGGGATGGATGGATGGATGGATGTTTCTCTTCTGGGCTGGATTTCTGGTTCAGCTGGGAGTGGGGTCAGAACCTCCTTGTGCTTCCTCCCCATTCCAGCTGCTCAGACCTCCAGGTGCTGCCATGAGCCCTCCAGAATTCTCCAGGCCCCAGCTGAGACATCGAAGGGCTGGGTGCTTGTTGAGCTGTGGGTGAAGAGCCCTGCTCCCCTGGAAGCTGACTGTGTCACAGAACATGTTTTTTATGTACCTGTATCTGGAGAAATGCTTCTTCCAGGATGGCCAGGGCAGCCCTTGGGTTCAGCAGTGGGTCCTGGCAGGGGGATGGGAAAGGAGAGGCTCCACACAGAATCCCAACTGCAGTGCCTTGGGCTTTGAAATGATGACAGAAAATTTTCCTGCTCACATTTGTTCTCATTTAGCTACAGCTTGTTCACCAGGATGTTTTTCAAGGAGGGTCTGGTCTGTGCTGGCAGAGGAAAGTCTCCAATTTCCCAAAGCTTATCACTTTGTCCTTGACAACGATGGGAACTTGCAGCACTTCTTTTGGTGGAGAGGCAAACATGAGCAGTCCTGCCCTTGCAGGCAGCATTGTCCTGCTCTTCCTGTATGCTGAATCACACAGGACAGATAAAGTGTCCCCAAAATATTGTTGGCTTTGCAGATGTCAGACCTGGGAAAGTTGGGTGGAAGGGGGAGGAGAGTGAATATCTGAACTGCAAACTGAGCAAAGCTTGGAGCTCAAACAAAATGCCTCCCATCCCTTGGGAAAATGTGTGTTGGTGTAGGATGGACAATACTGAGCGCCCTAATATTGATGAACAATAATTTTAAACATTGCAAACAACTTCTGAAATAAGGAGGGTTTGTGTCTGGCATAGAGCAGTGCTGGGGGGTGCATGGTCAGATGCAGAGGGTGAAACACAGGGGAGTGGTTGGTGTTTGGTAAAACACAAGGTGGTTGATATTTGGTGAAACACAGGGGAATGGTTGATATTTGCTAAACACAGGGGAATGGTTGATATTTGGTAAAACACAGGGAGTGGTTGATGTTTGGTAAAACACAGGGGAATGGTTGATGTTTGGTAAAACACGGGAATGGTTGATGTTTGGTAAAATGCAGGGGAATGGTTGATATTTGCTAAACACAGGGGGGTGGTTGATATTTGGTAAAACACAGGGGGGTGGTTGATGTTTGGCAGAACAAAGGGAAGTGGTTGATGTTTGGTAAAATACAGGGGGGTGGTTGATATTTGGTAAAACACGAGGTGGTTGATGTTTGCTAAGCACAGGGGGTGGTTGATGTTTGGCAGAACAAAGGGAAGTGGTTGATGTTTGGTAAAACACAGGGGAATGGTTGATATTTGGTAAAACACGAGGTGGTTGATATTTGGTAAAACATGAGGTAGTTGATATTTGCTAAACACAGGGGGTGGTTGAAGTTTGCCCCCTGCCCTCCCTTCGTGGGGATTCAGGGGTGGTTTGGGCTGCAGGGCAGCAATCAGGAGCTCAGGCTTTAGGAAAGCTGTGTGTTTTCAAAGCCCAGGGTTTTTTAGATGCTGATATCATTTTACATGGGGATTCACTGGAGATGACAGAGTGTTGGTGGAGCAGATGGAATCATGCACTGCAAGGATGGTGCTCAAATGTCTCAGCTCTCTGGGAGAGCAAAACCTCCGTGCTCTGTGTGCCTTGGACATTTCCTTTGTGCTGCAGAACTTTGATAATTTTATGTGTTTTTTGCTATCTCTGTGTACAATCAGCCTGGTTTTATCTCTGTGTGATACAGTGCTTGTTCCCTGATAAGACTGAGGACATAAACACCCTCCACAATGAACATCTGGGACCTGAGGGAACAGCTGCAGCTGTGTCAGGAGAGGTTTGGGTTCCCCTCAGCCCTGTGGCTGCCACCATCCTGTCCTCCCCGACCTCCTAGACTGGTGCTGCTGTTTCAGGCTGTATTTTTTCCTCCACTTCAGGCTGTACTGTCTCCTCCACTCTAGCACTGGGGCACTGCCCTGGATCTGCAGTTTCTGTGTGCTGTCTCCCAGGATTTGGACCTTTCTGTGAAGGGAGCCCTGGTGTGTCCCTCTGGGGGATGCAGCTGGTTCCATTCTGGGGCTGTCAGCAGGAGGGAGGCTGGGCAGGGGTGCTGTGGGCTCACATTTGACATTCCTGTTCCTCTCTCCCCAGAGATCATCGATGACCTGACGAGCCTGGTGGAGAGCACGGACGGGCGGCTGCGCAGCCAGACACGGCACGTGCAGGCAGTGGAGAGGAAATCCACGTCCTGTGGTAGGAGAGGCTGCAGGACAGACAGCCAGGGGTGCAGGACAAACAGCCAGGGGTGCCGGGCAAACACCCAGCCAGGGATGCCTTGGGAGGCTGAGCTGGAGCAGAGGCTGGGCAGAGTCCCAGAGTAAAGCAGGGATTTATTCAAAGCATCTCCTCCATGGATCCACCTTGGGCAGCACCAGAGCCCAGCCAGGGCTGCACCCAAGGTGAACCAAAATGGTCACAAAGTGAACCCAAAATGAACCAAAATGGTCCCAAAATGCACGGCTGGGCACGGGGTCTGTCCCTGGGATCAGTTCTGCTCCATTTGCATCTTGCAGTTCATTGTCCCATTCCAGCTTTAGCCCCTGCAGTCCCATCCTTGTTTTTCTCTCTCCAGCCCACGGTGTTTGTGCTCCTGGGCTGAGATTTGGATCATTTGTCCTTGGTCCCCAGCTGGAGCAGGACCTGCTCTGAGCACAGAGCTCACCATCCCTCACCATGAACTCAGAACTGCACACCTAGCCAGCACAAAATCTGAAAAATATAAAAGCTCAAAGCTGAGGCCTCCCCAGGGCGGTTGTTCACTGAGGATGTGCAGCTATTAACTGTTGCTAATTGCTGTGCAATGCTCCCCCCCGAGGCACAAGCCCCAGCAGCTCTGACTGGCTGTGCTGAAGTGCTGGTGCAGTTAATTTCCTTCAGCCATTTGACTCCAGCCTTGCACAATGTCCTGATTGTAAGAAATGGTTTGAAATCAGAGCGGTGCATGTTAATTAGCTGTACACAAACTTGCTACCAGCTCTCACAAAGCTGGCACAGCAGGGAGTGGGGCTGCAGGGGCATTCCTGGGGTGTCCTGCAGGAATGAGCTCCTAACCCAGCAGCACTCAGAGCCTGCCAGGCATGAAATCCTTCCTGGTGACCCCTGCAGTGATGTGCAAGCTGCTGAACTAAGCTGGCCTCCCTCTGCAGAGAGCCAAGGACAGGGGTATCTGCAGGCAGGTTTGGATGGAGGGCTGGGGGCTGGAGCTCTGACCAGGACAGGCTGCTGTGGATGGAGGAGAAAGTGCCTTTGTGTGGGGAGAGTGAGTGACTGGGGGATGAAGTCCCTGGGGAGGTGGTGCCAGTTCAGGTCAGGATCAGCATGCCTGGTTCTGGTTTTTATCGTGCCAGAAGACTCACAGTGCTCTATAGAATTTTAACTCACAGCCAGAAGTGGCTGAAATCAGGTTTATGTGGCTCAGTAAAGAGAAAGCCAAGGCTGAGGTGGTCCCAGCCTGGCTGTGGCTGTGAGGCTCTGCCTGCAGAGCTCCCCAGCTCACACTGGCAGTGAAGCATCTCTCCTGCACTGACAGTTCCAGGGATTTATCTGGCTCTCCATCCGTGATAAGGTTTTGAAAGCTTGCTTGATGGAGGCTGATGGAAACCTGTGGCTTCTTCTGGGGGTTAAAGTTGACTTGTCAGAGTCATTTGTCTCCGAGTTCTCCCGTACCAACTGCAGCTGGAATTAGAGGCGTGACTGCAGAGTTCATGACTGACTCTTTTATTTTAGATCTTGGATGTTGATGCAAGATGGATTTAATTTAAAAGTGAGTGCACTTGAATGATGCTGAGTAGCCCTGTGTGCCTTTGGAGTCTCCCCTTAATTCCTGTGGCTTCGTTTTGCTCACGAGTCCAGGGCAGCCCAGCTTGGGTGGGGGTGGGCAGGGATCAGTCCCAGGGGTCCAGGGGGGATTTCTCCCCATTTTCAGATTCCTCCTGCAAGTGCAGCCCCAGGCATGTTGCCTGATGATGAGGCTGTCTCTTTAACTCAGAAAGCCCATCCTGGCTGCCTGGGGAATTTCAGAGGAGGAGGAGGAGGATGGGAGAAGGAAGGCTGGGAGGATCCTGGCCTGGATTCCTTGGGGGTGACCTCTCTCACCCTTTGCACATTGAAAAACATTTGGCTTTGGTGAGAAGTGCAGCCTCTGGTGCCTGCTCCCTCTGCTCCCATAGGTCTTCCTGTGTTTGCATAACAATTTGGGCATAAGCAAACACCAAATTGCCTCAGCTGGCTGCTTCCTCCTGCCCTGGCCTGAGCTGTGGAGCAGCAATGCTGAGCACACAGGCTTCAGCAGCATTCCTCCCATCCCCTTCCACCCTTGTCCTGGCACTGGGGTGAACTGGTGCACTGGGATCAGAAATACCCTCCCTGTACATGGGATTGCCCCTGGAATGAGGCCAAGCAGCAGGAAACTGGCACCTGCCAGGGGGCCCTGCCAGAGTGCCTGTTTGTCATTTAAATGGATCAAATTCAATTGATCAAATTCAGTAACTCCCTGGGTTTGGTGCCTTACTTTGGATTTGAAGCAGGGTGAGTGCTCAGCCCTCGCCCTTGCTCCCCCAGAGCAATCTCCCCTCTGCTCCAGCTGTGGCTGGTAATGTGTTTTTCCCTCCTTTTTGAAATGGTGATGTCTTTTTATTCTGCTGCTGAGTGCCTGTGCTGGAGCCAGGGGCTGTGGATACAGGCAGAGCACCCTGGCTGCAATAATGGAATAATCCCTGTTTTACAAGCAGGAATGTCATGCATTAATGGGTGTGTCTTTGTTAGCAGCCAGTATCATCAGAAAATCAAAGGATTGCTGGTGAAGCCCAGCTTTAATCAATATTTCAACATCTGCCTCTCATGCAAACCCCGTTTCCAGCTGTGGGGCTGTTCCCAGTGCCCTCTGGTGAGCCCAGGGCTGCCCTTGGGGCTGTGCCCTGGGCATTCCCCCAGCCTGGCACAGCCCTCAGCTTGTCCTGGGGGGGTTGTTCCATTCACAGCTGATTTTCAGGGCCATTTTTCTGGCTGTCCCTGAGCTGCTGCCAGTGCCAGCCCCTGTGCCGTGCCCAGGGAAGGCTGTGCTGTGTCCCAGTGGCCTCAGGCAGCCCCACACTGGTGGCACTGGGCACTCCCAGGATTGCAGTGCGGGGATAACCACGGGATGGACTCCAGCCTCCTCCACATTTATGAAATTATTGTTGAAAATCATCAGTCATCCACAGGCAAATGTTTGCACAGTGCCTGGCATTGTTTTCCCCCTTCCCAGCGAGTGCTGGGCGTTAGCAGGGGTGCTGGGACATATAAGTTTCTTGGATTTCAGAAATTTGCATTGAGCTTTCAGCAGGGTGTTCACACAGCTCATCAGTCAAGTGCCAGGCTGGCTGTACCAGCTTTGCTCCAGGAAAGGCTGTGTGTGCACAGTCCTGCCTGCTCAGCCTCACCACGGCTGCTCTTGGGCTGCTCTGGCCTCTCTCTGCCAGCCTGGGCACCTTTAGGGCTTTCTGCAGAGTGACACCCACTGACCATTCCTCAAGAAATGGTTTTATTAGAAACTTCAACCCTTAGAACGTCCTCCTAAGAACTGCATTTAAAATTTTGCAAATAAATTGAAGTGTAATTAATGTGGAGATGCTGGGGGAAACAGGGCTTTGGTGCTTTTGGGGTAACTTTACCCCATCCTTGAGTTTTGCAGTGGGATTTTTTGTTTGGTTCCTTCCCTAAAGACCATGGGTAGAGAGGATGGTTAAGCCAGGCTTTGGCTGTGATAGAACATCCTCAAGTGTTTGTGTCTGGAGCAGCCAAGGGGGCTTTGGGTGCTCAGGCCACAGATGTGACCTGCACAGAGGTGGCTGCACCTCAGCTGTGCCATGTGTGGGGTCAGAAATGCTTCAGCTCCTGCTGAAGGGTGAATTTTGGGGAGGGGAGCTGGGCACTCCTGGTCCCAGCCCAGTCCCTCTCTGGTGTTCTCCTGCTGCTCTTGTTTCCTGGGGAAGCAGCACAGAAAACCCTGACAAGCAGAAAAACAAGAGGGGGAGCTTTTATTTGTGATGGATGAGCCCGTGTCCATCCCCTTCCCAGCAGCCTGAGGGCAGCAGACCTCGTTCTCCTCTGTGCATCCCTGTGCCCTCTCAGATAAATGGGAATGAGGAGCAGGCACAGCCGATCCCTCCGGGGCAGGAGCTGTGGCCTGGGGAGCTCAGAGCAGTTTGTCCCTGTTTCCCCCTGTTCCAGCAGATGGCAATGCAATCCCAGCACCTCCTCGGCCCCAGGTGAGGGCTCAGCTCCCCCTCCTGCCCAGGGATGCCGAGGGCAGGCTGGAAACTCCAGCAGATTAATCTGCACCAGGTGGGATGCTGGTTTTAACCTTGCCAAAACACCTGAATGAAAACCAGAGCTTTGCTGAACCCTTTCATTGGAGTTTTTGGAAGGTTTGGTTTGTTTTAAAACAGGGTAGCTTGGATTATATAAGGTTTCCTCTAGAAAATAATGATTCATGCAGGCTGGGGCCTTTTCCTGCCAGGTTCTGTGATCTCTCTGTTCTAAGCTTTGCTTATTTTTGCCATGGATTTAATTTGTTTTATAAATTACGATGGCAGCTGCTCAGGTTTGTTCCTCTGACGTTTCCTGTGTGTTCAGATGAGCAAGTCCCCATCCATTTGTTTTTTGCTCAGTGGGGAGGAGGAGCTGGTTCTGTTGCCATGAAATCAGCCTTTCCTGCAATCTGACTCTTGCAGGAGTTACTCTGCTGTTCCTCCCAGAGCTGCCCTGACAGCTGCCCTGCTCTGAGTCACCTGTCCAGCCTCTGATGGGATCACAACTCTTGGCCTGGCAGCTGGGATGTTTTCCTGTGCTGGTGGCAGTGTCCCAGCCTGGTGCCCACTCCAGCAGTGTCCCCAGCCTGGTGGCAGTGTCCCAGCCTGGTGGCCATGTCCCAGCCTGGTGGCAGTGTCCCAGCCTGGTGCCATGTCCCAGCCTGGTGGCAGTGTCCCAGCCTGGTGGCAGTGTCCCCAGCCTGGTGGCAGTGTCCTCAACCTGGTGGCAGTGTCCTCAGCCTGATGGCAGTGTCCCAGCCTGGTGGCAGTGTCCCCAGCCTGGTGCCCATGTCCCAGCCTGGTGGCAGTGTCCTCAGCCTGGTGGCAGTGTCCCCAGCCTGGTGGTAGTGTCCCCAGCCTGGTGCCCATGTCCCAGCCTGGTGGCAGTGTCCCCAGCCTGGT